GGCCCTGGGCTCTGGAACCCTGCTTGAGAGAGGCTGCTAAGCGTTCAGAGCAGGACAGTGCCAGGTGCTGACTGATACTTAACAGAGCATTGCTGTGGCTGCTGCAGAGGACAGACAGGCCCAGGCAGTGGAGCCTGAGGCCAGTCACACAACATTGCAGGCTTGGGGTGGCTGGATGGGATGGTGAGAGGAGGTCAGATTCTGGGTGTAGTTTTTCTTTTTCTTTTGAGATGGAGTCTCGCTCTGTTGCCTAGGCTGGAGTACAGTGGCATGGTCTCCGCTCACTGCAACCTGCGCCTCCCGGGTTCAAGCAATTCTCCTGCCTCAGCCTCCTGAGTAGCTGGAACTATAGTCGCCCACCACCATGCCTGGCTAATTTTTGTATTTTTAGTAGAGATAGGGTTTCACCATATTGGCTAGGCTGGTCTGGAACTCCTGACTTTGTGATCCGCCCGCCTTGCCCTCCCAAAGTGCTGGAAGTACAGGCGTGAGCCACCGTGCCGGCCGATTCGGGGTGTATTTTGAAGGTTGAGCCCACAGGATTTGTGGAAGGATTGGATGTGAGGAAAAGGGCAGGTGCTGAGGTTTTTTGTCTTAAGCACCTAGCAGGATGGCGGGTTGTCACTCATTTGTCCAGGAATTACCTTCAGGCCGCCTCCTGTGTGCACTGCTTTAAAGAACAGCGAACCAAACAAAGATCCCTTCCTTTGGGGAGCTGGCTTTCTGTGAAGAAATTTCCTGCTTAAAGCCTGACATAGTAAAGATTGGGGGAGGGTTAGGTAGATAGAGCAGAGGTCCCCAACCTTTTTGGCACCAGGGACCGGCTTAGGGAAGACAGTCTTTCCACGAACTGCTGGGGGGATGGTTTTGGGATGAAACCGTTCCACCTCTGATCATCAGGTGTTAGATTCTAGTAAGGAGCGCACACCTAGCTCCCTCGCATGCGCAGTTCATGGTGGGGTTTGCGCTCCTATGAGGATCAAATGGTGCGCTGCTCCAGTAGGAGGCCGGGCTCAGGCTGTAATGCCTGCTTGCTCACCGCTCACCTTCTGCTGCATGGCCCGGTTCCTAACAGGCCACAGACCACTACTGTTCCATGGCCCAGAGGTTGAGGACCCTGAGATACAGGACAATTCTATGGCAAGCAGGACTGTCCCCTCACCAAAGATGACACATTGAGGCTCCTTGGAGCAGCCCCTGTTCCCCCATGTCTTCATGACCCAGTATCCATCTGTCTTCCCCAGTTTGGGAGCTTCTCGTCGAGGAGGACCTGGGCCTGGTGTGGCATCTGCTGTGTGGGCGGGGCCGTGTCCAATGGCCTTGGGGACTTCAGGTTGGGGAGAAGGTCTGCCTGAGTTTTACTGCCTTCTCCCAACCCCACCCTGTCTCCCCTGGCAGCGGCTGATCGACAAGACCAAGGTGACGTATCTGAAGTGGCTGCCTGAGTCGGAGAGCCTGTTCCTGGCATCACACGCCAGTGGCCACCTGTACCTATACAACGTCAGCCACCCGTGCGCCTCGGCCCCACCCCAGTACAGCCTGCTGAAGCAGGGCGAGGGCTTCTCTGTCTATGCGGCCAAGAGCAAGGCGCCCCGCAACCCACTGGCCAAGTGGGCGGTGGGCGAGGGGCCCCTCAACGAGTTCGCCTTCTCGCCTGATGGCCGGCACCTGGCCTGTGTGAGCCAGGATGGCTGCCTGCGCGTCTTCCATTTCGACTCCATGCTCCTGCGCGGGCTCATGAAGAGCTACTTTGGGGGCCTGCTGTGTGTGTGCTGGAGCCCTGACGGCCGTTACGTGGTGACGGGTGGTGAAGATGACCTGGTCACCGTGTGGTCCTTCACTGAGGGCCGCGTGGTGGCTCGAGGCCACGGCCACAAGTCCTGGGTCAACGCTGTGGCCTTCGACCCCTACACCACACGGGCAGAGGAGGCGGCGACAGCAGCCGGTGCTGACGGGGAGCGGAGTGGCGAGGAGGAGGAGGAGGAGCCCGAGGCTGCGGGCACAGGCTCGGCCGGGGGTGCCCCGCTCTCTCCACTGCCCAAGGCTGGCTCCATCACTTACCGCTTTGGCTCGGCGGGCCAGGACACGCAGTTCTGTCTGTGGGACCTCACTGAAGATGTGCTCTACCCGCACCCGCCCCTGGCCCGCACGCGCACCCTCCCTGGCACTCCTGGCACCACGCCACCGGCCGCCAGCAGCTCGAGGGGTGGCGAGCCTGGCCCGGGCCCACTGCCTCGCTCGCTGTCCCGCTCCAACAGCCTCCCGCACCCGGCGGGCGGGGGCAAGGCAGGCGGCCCGGGCGTGGCAGCAGAGCCTGGCACACCATTCAGCATCGGCCGCTTCGCCACGCTCACATTGCAGGAGCGGCGGGACCGGGGGGCCGAGAAGGAGCACAAGCGCTACCACAGCCTGGGCAACATCAGCCGGGGTGGCAGCGGTGGCGGCGGCAGTGGGGAGAAGCCCAGCGGCCCTATTCCCCGCAGCCGCCTGGACCCCGCCAAGGTGCTGGGCACCGCACTGTGCCCACGCATCCATGAGGTGCCCCTGCTGGAGCCCCTCGTGTGCAAGAAGATCGCGCAGGAGCGGCTCACAGTCCTCCTGTTTCTGGAGGACTGCATCATCACTGCCTGCCAGGAGGGCCTCATCTGCACCTGGGCCCGGCCGGGCAAGGCGGTGAGTGGCTCCATGCCAGCCTGCCGGGGACCTGGCAGGACCCTTGGTGGGAAGAAGCAGTCATTGGCAGAGAGAGGGCTTTGTTGCTGTCACAGCCTCTGGCTTCGTGGGGTGAGGGGAAGCCATGGAAATCTTAGTGTCTCAGAACAAGACCTCTCAGATTCCCAGGTGGCAGGCAGCAGAGAGAGGGGTGGGTGTGAGAGCCAGCTGGGAGACGGGGCGTCCAAGGCTGGCCGTCTGAAGGGCAGCAGATGGGCCCCGCATGGCCAAGTCTTGCTGCCTGTCACTCGAACCAAAATCTATTTCTATTGAACATCTGTTTTTTAAATGGTGAAACTTTTTTGAGTACTTCAGGCCAAAACTCTAGGGGCGAGCTCAAGCCTGTGGGCATGGCTGCCAGGCTGGTTCTGGACTCAGGATCTGAGCCTCCTGCTGAAGGCACAGTCTGGGAATCCCAGGCCTGGGTTCCAGTCCCATTCCCTGTGTGATCCCGGACAAGTCACTGCTCTCTCTAACCTCCAACTTATCACCTAAGTCTTAGAGCCTGTAGAATGGGCAGAGGGGGGATGCGTTTGCCTCCTGGGTGGGCTATGGTGTTGGAAAGGTCACAGTAGGCAAAAGCAGGCCTGGCATCTTGTCAGTCCGGAGCTTGTCTTGGGTGTCTCCGCTCCTTAGGGCTTGGACTCAGCTGCCCAGGGTCCTGGAGGCTGTGGCTTGGTTCCTCAGATCCTCGGTTTTGGTATTGTAGAGTCCTGAGTCCCTAGAACTTGAGAGTACAGTCTGAGTGCCTCAGAGGCAAGAGTGGTGGGATTTGGGGAGTCTGGTTGAGTCCTAAAAGAGACCCCTCTGTCTCCCTAGTTCACAGACGAGGAGACCGAGGCCCAGACAGGGGAAGGAAGTTGGCCCAGGTCACCCAGCAAGTCAGTGGTAGAGGTAGGACTGTCCCTGAGTTCTTTCCCCAGCACCTCAGGGTCCCTCCCAAGTTAGAAGGGAGCCCCAGTTTCCCCCTCCCCTCACACCCCTACCCTTACCCCATCATCTCACTCAGGATCTGCCGAGGACTTTGATTATTGAGTGAAAGTGCCGACTGCCAGGACAGGAAGCTAGCTAAGATGCAAATTGCCAACCTAGAGCAGCGGCCTCTGGGGGCTCTGGGGTGGACCCAAGGGCAAGGCCAGGGTGGCAGCAGCTTTGGGGACTCTGGGCTGGCTCCCTCCCCTTGACACTGGCTGAAGTCCAGGTGGTCTCTAACCCCTCCCATTTCTCCCTCTCATCTTCCCCAGGGCATCTCCTCCCAACCAGGCAACTCCCCGAGCGGCACAGTGGTGTGAAGCCATGGATATCGGGGCCCCTACCCCATGCCCCCAGCCTCCTAGCCATAACCCTCCCTGCTGACCTCATGGATCAACGTATTAACAAGACTAACTATGACAGATGGACTGCACTGGTCCCCCAACCTGCACAAAATTTGGGGGCCCCCCCAGACTGGCCCAGACACTGGGGGAATGTAATGGCCCTTGTGGCCTCAGCCTTGTCCCCCACCCACTGCCAAGTACAATGACCTCTTCCTCTGAAACATCAGTGTTACCCTCATCCCTGTCCCCAGCATGTGACTGGTCACTCCTGGGGAGAGACTCCCCGCCCCCACCACAAGAGCCCCAGGTCTGCAGTGTGCCCCTTAGTTGAGTGGGCAGGGCTGGGGGTGGTCCAGCCCTCACCCGGCCCCCACCCCAGCTGCCCTTGCTATTGTCTGTGTTTTTGAAGAGTGTTAAATTATGGAAGCCCCTCAGGTTCCTCCCTGTCCCCCAGGACCTCTTATTTATACTAAAGTTCCCTGTTTTCTCAGCGGCTCTGTCCCCTTCGGAGGAGGTGGTGTAGAGGACCTGTGTGTGTGCTCTGCGGTTCCAGGCAGTCCGCTTTCCCCAGAGGAGGAGTGCAGGCCTGCTCCTGGCCCAGCGCCTCCCACCCCTTTTCATAGCAGGAAAAGCCGGAGCCCAGGGAGGGAACGGATCTGCGAGTCACACGGCTGGTGACCCACACCAGTGACTGGAGCAGGGCCCTCCTCTCGGGGAGAAGAGCATCCTGCCCGCTGCCAGGGCCCCTCATCAAAGTCCTCATTGGGTGTTTTTAAAATTCTCAAAACTGCCCAGAACCTCATTTCCCAAGCCCTGCCCAGCTGGGACTCCTTGGTCCTTGCCTCGTTTCTCAGGCCTGGCCCTCTCAAGGCCCAGGCACCCCAGGCCAGCTGGAGGCCCCGACTTCCACTCTGGAGAACGGTCCATACTGGAAAGAAGAGCTCAGATCCCTCCTGGCTCTCGGAGCCGCAGGGAGTGTCTTCCCGCGCCACCCTCCACCCCCCGAAATGTTTCTGTTTCTAATCCCAGCCTGGGCAGGAATGTGGCTTCCCGGCCAGGGGCCAAGGAGCTATTTTGGGGTCTCCTTTGCCTGGGGAGGGCTTGGCTCCACCACTTGCCTCCCCCAGGCTTTGGGCAGCAGGTCACCCCTGTTCAGGCTCTGAGGGTGCCCCCTCCTGGTCCTCTCCTCACCACCCCTTCCCCACCTCCTGGAAAAAAAAAAAGTGTAAAGCAGAGAGCCTGAGGGCTAAATTTAACTGTCCGAGTCGGAATCCATCTCTGAGTCACCCAAGAAGCTGCCCTGGCCTCCCACCCCTTCCCAGGCCTCAGCCCCTTTCTCCTACCCAGCCCTCAGCCCCCAGCGCCCAGCCCCCAGCGCCCAGCCCCCAGCGCCCAGCGCCCAGCGCCCAGCCCCCAGCGCCCAGCGCCCAGCGCCCAGCGCCTAGCTCTGGAGCTTGTCAGGAGCAAGGGGGTGGTTGCTACTGGGTCACTCAGCCTCGACTGGCCCCATTTTAGTAATGGGCAGGTTCCTCTTGGAATCCATCACACCTGTGGCTTCCTCTGTGCTCTACCTTTTTATTGGGGTGACAGTGTGAGAGCTGAGATTCTCCATCCATCCCCTCTAGCACTGAAGGGTTCTGAAGGGCCCTGGAAGGAGGGAGCTTGGGGGGTGGCTTGTGAGGGGTTAAGGCTGGGAGGCGGGAGGGGGGCTGGACCAAGGGGTGGGGAGAAGGGGAGGAGGCCTCAGCAGCAGAGAGAAGTGGCCAGAGAGGCCCAGGGGACAGTCAGGGACAGGCAGACATGCAGCCAGGGCTCCAGGGTCTGGACAGGGGCTGCCAGGCCCCGTGACAGGAGGACCCCGAGCCCCCGGCCCGGGGAGGGGCCATGGTGCTGCCTGTCCAACATGTCAGCCGAGGTGCGGCTGAGGCAGCTCCAGCAGCTGGTGTTGGACCCCGGCTTCCTGGGGCTGGAGCCCCTGCTCGACCTTCTCCTGGGCGTCCACCAGGAGCTGGGTGCCTCCGAACTGGCCCAGGACAAGTACGTGGCCGACTTCTTGCAGTGGGGTGAGTGCCTGCCCTCAGGGCTCCTGCAGATGGGGTGGGGGTGGGGCAGGAGACAGGTCTGGGCACAGAGGCCTGGCTGTTGCGGGGGCAGGATGGCAGGATGGGCATGGGAAGATCCTCCCATCCTGGGGCTCAGAGCGTGGACCTGAGTCCTGGGACAACATTTCTCTGTCCTATGCCACCACCCCGGAGGGGCAGAGTAAGGTCAGCAGAGGCCAGGGTGGCTATGACTCAGAGCCATGGCTTAGGAGTCACAGCAGGCTACACTGCCAACAGCCTCCCATGGCCTCTCTGCACCCTGCCTCAGGGACAGGGCCAGTGTCATGCTGGGAGCTCCCTCTCCTAGGATCCTCTCCCCAGAAGTGGGCTCTATGGCCCACTCCCTTGGTTTTCTGCAGCCCAGGGCAAGCCAGGAGGGCCAGCATGGGGCAGCTGCCAGGGGCGCAGCCGACAGGCAGGTGTTCGGCGCCAGCCTCTCCAGCTGCCCCAACAGGTGCCCAGGCACTGGGAGGGCGGTGACTCACGCGGGCCCTGGGGGAGAACCAGCTTTGCAGACAGGCGCCACCAGCGCCCCCTCCTCTGTGATCCAGGAGGGACAACTTTGGGTTCTTCTGGGTGTGCCTCCTTTTGTAGGTTCTGCACCCACCCCCACCCCCAGCCCCAAAGTCTCGGTCCCTATGAGCCGTGTGGGTCAGCCACCATTCTCGCCACCCCAGCTCCCTGCGTCCTTTAGTTCTCCTGGCCCACGGCCTCCAACCTTCCAGCTGCCCCACAAAGCCCCTTCTTGCAAGGACTTTCCAGGGCCTGGGGCCAGGGCTGGAAGGAGGATGCTTCCACTTCTGCCAGCTGCCTTGTCCGCCCATCTCCTCCCCAAGCCCAGGACTCAGGCTCACTGGTCACTGGTTTCTTTCACTCCCAGCACCCTGCCCCTCTGGCCCTCACGTGCCTGGCCCTCAGCGACTGGCACTTGGTCTTTGGTCTGTGTGTGACAAACTGTGTGACACTTGTTTCCTGTTTCTCCACCTTCCCCTGCTTCCTCTTGTGTCCATCTCTTTGTGACCCAGGTCTGGTTCCTCTCTCTCCTCCTCCCATTTCACAGATGGGAAGGCGGAGGCCAAGAAGGGCCAGGCCACTCAGCCTCTGGAAAAACCTTCTCCCAACCTCCCGCAGCCCCTAATGACTCTCCTGGCCCCCCTTTAACAGAGGATGAAGTTGGGCTGGCAGGGTAAACTGAGACCGGGCGGGGTAGGGGTCTGGCGCTCCAGGGAGGAGCACTCCTTTTGTGGCCCGAGCTGCATCTTGCGGCCCCTCCCCTGCCAGGCCTGGGGCGGGGGAGGGGGCCTGGGTTCCTGCTGCCTTAAAAGGGCTCAATGTCTTGGCTCTCTCCTCCCTCCCCCGTCCTCAGTCCTGGCTGGTTCGTCCCTGCTGGCCCACTCTCCCGGAACCCCCCGAAACCCCTCTCTCCTCTAGAACCCACTGTCTCTTCTCCTTCCCTCCCCTCCCATACCCATCCCTCTCTCCATCCTGCCTCCACTTCTTCCACCCCTGGGAGTCCAGGCCTCCCTGTCCCCATGGTCCCTGAGCCCCAAGCCTCCACCCCAGCCGGTCCCCCACCCAAGCTGCCCTGTTTAACATTCCTAGTCATAGGACCTTGACTTCTGAGAGCCCTGATTGTCATCTGTAAATAAGGGGTAGGACTAAAGCCCTCCTCCTGGAGGACTGAGAGATGGGCTGGACCAGAGCACTTGAGTCTAGGATGTGTGACCATGCCGGCTTTGTCTCCCTGTCCTGTTCCTTCCCCCAGCCCCAGATCCAGGGTTTCCCAAAGTGTGGTTCAAGAACCACCTGTATCTGAATCTAGAGGTACTGGATACAACCCCACGTCTGGGCCATTACCCAGGACATTCTACATGAGAACGAGGGGGTGGGGTCCTGGCTGCGCCTGAACTGTCACCTGGAGTCGGGGTGGAGGACTGGAAGCCCAGGAAGGTGGAAGAACTGGGTCTTATTTCCTTCTCCCCTTGTTCTTTAGGGTCTGCCCTTCTGCAGACTTTGTTACCCCACCCTCACCGTCCTGCACACCCTTGGAGCCCTCTGGTCCAATGCCCTGTCCCGCAAAGGGCTTCCCAGGCATCTCGCCTCTATGGGAGGGCAGTTTTGGGTCCCCAGAACCTTACACAGTGTTTATGTGGGGAAGCTCTTGGGAAGCAGACAGTCCTAGGGTGAAGCTGAGAGGCAGAGAGAAGGGGAGACAGAAGGTGGGGTTTTTCCCCTTGTCTCCAGTGCCTTTTCTGGTGACCCTCGGTTCTTTTCCCCCACCACGCCCCCAGCGGAGCCCATCGTGGTGAGGCTTAAGGAGGTCCGACTGCACAGGGACGACTTCGAGATTCTGAAGGTGATCGGACGCGGGGCGTTCAGTGAGGTAAGCTCAACTGGTCGGCAGCCCGACTTGACTTGTGGTGGGTGGGGCATAAGGGTTGGGGTGGGGCCTTAGAAATTGATGAATGACCAAGACTTAGAACCTGGGGCTGGGCTGGAGGCGGGGCTTGGGACCAATGGGCGTGGTGCGGCAGGTGGGGCGGGGCCACGACTGGGTGCAGAAGGGGGTGGAGTTGGGTCTCGGGGAGCCCTTCTGTTTTCCCGGCGTCTCCACCTTGTCTGCCTCTCTTGGCCTCAGGTAGCGGTGGTGAAGATGAAGCAGACGGGCCAGGTGTACGCCATGAAGATCATGAACAAGTGGGACATGCTGAAGAGGGGCGAGGTGAGGGGCTCGGCGGGCGTGGGGGGCTTTGAGGATCCGCGCCCTCTCTCCGGCTGCAGCTCCTCCGGGTGCCCTGCAGGTGTCGTGCTTCCGTGAGGAGAGGGACGTGTTGGTGAATGGGGACCGGCGGTGGATCACGCAGCTGCATTTCGCCTTCCAGGATGAGAACTACCTGGTGAGCTCCGGGCTGGGGTGACTGGGAAGAGGTACAGAGCCCATGCTGTCACTGAATGAGGAGGTGGGGAGAGGAAGCTCTAGGATTGGGGGTGCTGCCCACCACAAGTCCCCCACGCCTGTGGGAGAGTCTGTGTGCAGTAAGAGGGTGTGTCAGGTGGATGAGGGGCCTTCCTTATCTTGGACGGGGATGGGGTCCCTCACTGCCCCTTTCTGGGGTGTTTTGGGGGACTCCTATAAAGAAGTCTCTGTTGGGGGGGTCTCTTACCTGGAATGGGATAGGTCTTCAGAAATTCTAACGGGGCCACTGCCTAGGGAGGGAGTGTCTGGGACCTATTCTCTGGGTGTTGAGTGGTCTATGAGTTCTCTTTCCCAGAACATCTCAGGGGGAGTGAATCTGCCCAGTGACATTCCAGGAAAGGTTTTTTGTTTGTGTTTTTTTTCGAGGGGCGGGGGGCGGGGGCCGCAGGTGTCTCTGATTTGGCCCGGCAGATCTCTGTGGTTATCTCTGGGCTGGGGCTGCAGGTCTCTGCCCAGGGATGGGGTGTCTCTGGCAGTGGTTGTCCCGGCCATCCGTGATGGATCAGGGCCTCGGGACTACCAGCCACCCATGACGAACCCCTTCTCAGTACCTGGTCATGGAGTATTACGTGGGTGGGGACCTGCTGACACTGCTGAGCAAGTTTGGGGAGCGGATTCCGGCTGAGATGGCGCGCTTCTACCTGGCGGAGATTGTCATGGCCATAGATTCGGTGCACCGGCTCGGCTACGTGCACAGGTGTGTGTGGCATGGCTGAGGGCTAGGGCGAGGGGATAGCAAGCTTGTTCCCTGGCAGGGTTCTTGGAAGGTCAGAGCCCAGAGAGGCCAGGGCCTAGAGAGGGACCTCCTTGGTTGGGGCCCACTGGGGCGTGCCTGGGAGTAGGGTCCAGAACTGTAGAATCCCTACAGGGGCAGAACCCAAGGAAGTGGGGCCCGAGGTGGCACTGCCCAAAGGGGCAGAGCTTGGTGGGACCACAGAAGGGAGGTTCACTTATCCCACCCTTCTCCTTTCCTCGGTGCAGGGACATCAAACCCGACAACATCCTGCTGGACCGCTGTGGCCACATCCGCCTGGCTGACTTCGGCTCCTGTCTCAAGCTGCAGGCAGATGGAACGGTGAGCCAGTGCCCTGGCCACAGAGCAACTCGGGCTGCTAATGAGGGATGGGAGGTGCGGAGTGTGGGGGCAGGACTGGATTTGGAGGGGGCAGGAGGAGGTGACCCAGGCCTAAGTGTGCATCTGTGTGGCAGAGCATTAGACCAGGCAGAGGGAGAGGCTAAGCATTTGGGGAGTGGTTGGAAGGAGGGCCCAGAGCTGGTGGGCCCAGAGGGGTGGGCCCAAGCCTCGCTCTGCTCCTTTTGGTCCAGGTGCGGTCACTGGTGGCTGTGGGCACCCCAGACTACCTGTCCCCCGAGATCCTGCAGGCTGTGGGCGGTGGGCCTGGGACAGGCAGCTACGGGCCAGAGTGTGACTGGTGGGCGCTGGGTGTGTTCGCCTATGAAATGTTCTACGGGCAGACGCCCTTCTACGCGGATTCCACGGCGGAGACCTACGGCAAGATCGTCCACTACAAGGTGAGCATGGCCCCAGGGAGCCCTGGCCTCTCCAGGTAGGCGCTCCCCAACTATCGCCTCCTCTCCCTCTCCCTCTGAGCAGGAGCACCTCTCTCTGCCGCTGGCAGATGAAGGGGTCCCTGAGGAGGCTCAAGACCTCATCCAGCGTCTGCTGTGTCCCCCGGAGACACGGCTGGGCCGGGGTGGAGCAGGTGACTTCCGGACACATCCCTTCTTCTTTGGCCTCGACTGGGATGGTCTCCGAGACAGCATGCCCCCCTTTACACCGGATTTCGAAGGTGCCACCGACACATGCAACTTCGACTTGGTGGAGGACGGGCTCACTGCCATGGTGAGCGGGGGCGGGGTAGGTACCTGCGGCCCCTGCTCAGCTGCGGGAACCTCCCCATGCTCCCTCCAGAAAGTTGGAGTAAGGACAGTGCCTACCTCCTGGGGTCCTGAACCACTCATTCCCCAGAGCACCTGCTGTGAGCCCATCTAGTGCTGAGGACCCAGCAGTGACCTAGACTTATAGTCCAGTGGGGAAACACAGACCAGTCTTCAGACAGTGAAGCCCCAGAATGATCAGGGCTGAGACAATGGAGTGCAGGGGGTGGGGGGCTCCTGACTCAGCAAGGAAGGTCCTGGAGGGCTTCCTGGAGTGGGGAGCTATCTGAGCTGAGACTTCGAGAGATGAGAAGCAGGAGAGGACTCCTCCTCCCTCAGGCTGGCTCTCTTCACCGTGTAACGAGCTGTCGTGGAATGCTTGCTTGGCTCTGGGTGCCCTTTTGCTGGACAATACTGGGGATCCAGCACTGACCAGATCATCTCTGGTCCCTGCCCTCATCCACTTGCAGTCTAGAGAATTAGAGAATTATGGAGAGTGTGGCAGGTACCCTTGAAGGGAAGCAACAGGATACAAGAAAAAATAGTGGGGCCAGGCGCCGTGGCTCACGCCTGTAACCCCAGTACTTTGGGAGGCCGAAGCGAGTGGATTGTTTGAGCCCAGGAGTTCAAGACCAGCCTGGGCAATGTGGTGAGACCCTATCTCTACAAAAATGTTTAAAAAATTGGCTGGGTGTGGTGGCGCATGCCTGTATACTCAGCTCCTAGGGAGGCCGACCTGGGAGGCTCGCTTGAGCCCAGGAGGTCAAGGCTGCAGTGAGCTGTGATTGTGCCACTGTATTCCCGCCTGAGCAACAGAGAGAGACTCTGTCTCAAAAATAAGATAAAATTAAATTGAAATTTAAAAATAGGCTGGGCTGCGGCCGGGCGCTGTGGCACATGCCTGTAATTCCAGCACTTTGGGAGTCCGAGGTGGGCGGATCATGAGATCAAGAGTTTGAGGCCAGCCTGGCCAACATGGTGAAACCCCATCTCTACTAAAAATACAAGAAAAGTCGCTGGGCGTGGTTGTGGTTGCCTGTAATCCCAGCTACTGGGGAAGTTGAGGCAGGAGAATTGCTTGAACCCGGGAGGCAGAGTTTGCTGTGAGCCAAGATCATGCCACTGCACTGCAGTCTGAGTGACAGAGTGAGACTCTGTCTCAAAAAAAAGAGAAAAAAAAAATAGGCTGGGCAAGATGGTTCACGCCTATAATCCCAGAACTTTGGAAGGCTGAGGCAGACAGGTCACTGGAGGTCAGGAGTTCAAGACCAGCCTGGCCAACATGGTGAAACCCTGTGTCTACTAAAAATACAACATTTAGCCAGGCTTGGTGGTGTGTGCCTGTTGTCCCAGCTACTCAGGAGGCTGAGGCAGGAAAATTGCTTGAACCTGGGAGGCGGAGTCTGCAGTGGGCTGGGATCGTGCCACTATACTCTAGACTGGGAGACAGCAAGATTCCATCTAAAAAAAAAAAAAGAAGTGGGCCGGGCACAGTGGCTTATATTTGTAATCCCAGCACTTTGGGAGGCTGAGGTTGGAGGACTGCTTGAGCCCAGAGTTTGGGACTAGACCAGCCGAGGCGGGCGGATCACTTGAGGTCAGGAGTTCGAGACCAGCCTGGCCAACATGGTGAAACCCCGTCTCTCCTAAAAATATAAAAAATTAGCCAGGTGTGATGGAGGGCACCTGTAATCCCAGCTACTTGGGAAGCTGAAGCAGGAGAATCGCCTGAACCCAGGAGGCAGAGGTTGCAGTGAGCTGAGATCATGCCACTGCACTCCAGCCTGTGCAACAGAGCAAGACTCCTTGTCAAAAAAAAAAAAAAAAGAAAAAAAGAAAAAAGAAAAAAAGCTGGAGGGGCCACTTTAGATAAGCCCTGAGTTGGGGCTGGTTTGTGGGGAACATGTAAGCCAAAATCAAAAAGCAGTGAGGGGCCTACCCTGACGATTGCCGGTCACATCTGTGTGTCTTGTGCAGGAGACGCTGTCGGACATTCGGGAAGGTGCGCCACTGGGGGTCCACCTGCCTTTTGTGGGCTACTCCTACTCCTGCATGGCCCTCAGGTAAGCACTGCCCTGGATGACCTCCAGAGGCCCCGAGGCTGCTGGAGCTTCCTGGGTCCTGCTCCTTGGCAGCCAATAGAGTTGCAGGATCAGTCTTGGAACCTTATTGTTTTGGGACCAAAGACTCCTAAGAGGCCAGAGTTGGAGGACCTTAAAATGTCAGATACATGTACTTCGAAATGTTAGATTGAACTTTAAAACCTCAGAGTTACAGACTGGGCTTTCCAGAATCTCGTAACCATCAGCTTTACCGTCTGTGGTACACAGAGTCACAGGACTTCAGAATCTTGGAAAATATGAAGTTGAGACTTTTATAATCTAATTGTAAAAGAATGCAAACTCTTTGAATCACCCACATAATAATAAGGCCATTTAAAAATATTAATTTAGGCCAGGTGCGGTGACTCACACCTGTAATCCCAGCACTTTGGGAGGCCGAGGCGGGTGGATCACCTGAGGTCGGGAGTTCAAGACCAGCCTGACCAACATGGAGAAACCCTGTCTCTACTAAAAAACAAAATTAGCTGGGCGTGGTGGTGCACGCCTGTAATCCCAGCTACTCAGGAGGCTAAGGGCGGGAGGCAGAGATTGTGGTGAGCTGAGATCGTGCCATTGCACTCCAGCCTGGGTAACAAAAGTGAAACTTCATCTCAAAAAAAAAAAAAAAAAAAAAAAAAGTATTAATTTACAGGCTGGGCATGGTGGCTCACGCTTGGAATCCCAGTACTTTGGGAAGCTGAGGTGGACGGATTGCTTGAGCCCAGGAGTTCAAGACCAGCCTGGGCAATATAATGAGACCCTGTCTCTACAAAAAAATTGAAAAAATTTAGCCAGGCATGGTGGTCTGTGCCTGCAGTCCCAGCTATTCAGGAGCTGAAGTAGGACGATCACTTGAGCCTAGAGTTTGAGGCTTCAGTGAGCCATGATAGATTCCAACCTGGGCAACAGAGTGAGACCTGGTCTCAAAAAAAAGTATTAATTACACAAATAATGCATTGCTTATCACAAGTAAATTAGAAAATACAGATAAGGAAAAGGAAGTCGGTATCTCGTGAGCTCACCAGACGGCAGTGGTCCCTGGCTCACACGTGCACAGACACGTTTAAATACTGGAGAACAGGTGTTTTGTTGTGGTTTTTTTTTTCCCCTTCTTCATGCTACTTTGTCTAAGAGAACAGTTGGTTTTCTAATCAGCTTTTATTACTGGACAACATTACAAATACTGTACCTTACCGTTAATGAACTCTAACTCAATTCTGAACTGCTGTGGGGCCTGAGCAGTGGGTCAGGATTGAACCCATCCTCTATTGGAGCCCAGATGCATGCCCAGGATAGCTGGGTCCTGAGCCATGTTCCCACAGGAGGGACTGCTAGGTTGGTGGGGACAGCCACTTTGTACCCTAGGGAGGAGCTGTCCCCTTCCCACAGCTGAGTGGGGTGTGCTGATCTCAAGTCGCCATTGTGGGGTCTCATGTCCAGTCTTAGGACCACATCTGTGGAGGTGGCCAGAGCCAAGCAGTCTCCTTCATCAGGTTGGCCTCCCTGTCCTGTGGCCCTAAGAAGAGGGGTCTGCAGAGATCACATGTCAAGGGAGGAGACGAGCTGACCCTGGAACATGGGGGTCTGGACCCCGAGTCCCTGCAGAAGGTTTACAAAGAGCAGCTCCCAGGGGCCCAAGGCCAGGGGAGGGGCAGGGCTTTTCCTAAGCAGAGGAGGGGCCACTGGCCCACCTGAGACTGTTCTCTTCGCGCTGTCGCTCCCCTTCCTCAAATCAGGAGGTCTTGGAAGCAGCTGCCCCTTACCTGCAGGCCAGGAGCTCTGGTTCTCCACCAGAGAATCCGCATTCCGTCTCCCTGCCCACCCCCTCTCCTCAGGGACAGTGAGGTCCCGGGCCCCACACCCATGGAACTGGAGGCCGAGCAGCTGCTTGAGCCACACGTGCAAGTGCCTAGCCTGGAGTCCTCAGTGTCCCCAAGGGATGAAACAGTAAGTTGTGGAGGGGAGGGGGTCCGTCAGGGGCAAGCAGGAGAGAAAAGGTGAGGGCTTCCCGGGTGGCGTGTGCTGTAGAGCCCTCTGGGGACTTCCTGAACAGAAGCAGACAGAAACCACGGACAGACCAGGTTACTTCAGACATGACACGGTCTCTGTAGTTACAGTGGGGCATTAAGTAAGGCTGTGTGCGTTGGTGGGGATCTGAGGAGTTGAACTTTGAGCTGAACGCTCCTGAAGGAGAAGCCAGCCATGGAAAGAAAGGTGCCAGGTGGTCAGGCGAGAGCCTCAAGGGCAAAGGCCTTGAGCAGGTGGGAATCCTGATATCCTGATTTGTTCCTGTTTGGCTGAACCGTTCCTGAGAATGCTGGAGAGGCCAGCAGGCAACAAAACCCAGCAAGGCCTTTTGTCGTGAGGGCATTAGGGAGCTGGAGGGATTTTGAGCAGCAGAGGGACATAGGTTGTGTTCGTGTTTGAGGACCAGCTCTCTGGTCCCTGTGTGGATTTCGAGGACCAGACTCAGAGAAGGGGCTGAGGGAGGTAGGGAAGGGAGGGGGCTTGGATCATTGCAGGAGCTGTGGGGATTCCAGAAATTTTGAGGGGACGGAGAAGTAGGAGACAAGCAAGGATCCCTAGCCTGGAACCAGTGCCCAAGTTCTGAGTCCTCCAGGAGCCACAGGCAGCCTTAAGCCCGGTCCCCATACACAGGCTGAAGTGGCAGTTCCAGCGGCTATCCCTGCGGCAGAGGCTGAGGCCGAGGTGACGCTGCGGGAGCTCCAGGAGGCCCTGGAGGAGGAGGTGCTCACCCGGCAGAGCCTGAGCCGGGAGATGGAGGCCATCCGCATGGCCAACCAGAACTTTGCCAGGTCGGCGTTGGGGCCGGGGCGCAGGGCCCATGGCAACCCTTGGCAGCCCCTCTCGTCCGACTCGGACTGACTCACTGTCCTTACCTCCCCACAGTCAACTACGCGAGGCAGAGGCTCGGAACCGGGACCTAGAGGCGCACGTACGGCAGTTGCAGGAGCGGATGGAGTTGCTGCGGGCAGAGGGAGCCACAGGCGAGTCCCTCATGTGTCCCCTTCCCCGAAGGGCCGGGAGGAGGTGGGCCGTCTGCTCTGCGGGGCACGTATAGACACCTGGAGGAGGGAAGGGACCCATGCTGGGGCACGCCGCGCCACCGCCCTCCTTCGCCCCTCCACGCGCCCTATGCCTCTTTCTTCTCCTTCCAGCTGTCACGGGGGTCCCCAGTCCCCGGGCCACGGATCCACCTTCCCATGTAAGACCCCTCTCTTTCCCCTGCCTCAGACCTGCTGCCCACTCTACAGATCCCCTCCCTGGCTCCTGGTCTCCCCGTCCAGATACAGGGCTCACCCTACGTCTTTGCGACTTTGGAGGACAGATGCCCTTCGTTCAGCCCCAGATCTCCCTCCGTTCAAGGCTCACCAGATTCCCTCCGGGATCTCCCTAGATAACCTCCCCGGCCTCGATTCCCCTCGCTCTCTCGCCCCACTGCTGAGGGCTGGGCTGGGCTCCGATCGGGTCACCTGTCCCTTCTCTCTCCAGCTAGATGGCCCCCCGGCCGTGGCTCTGGGCCAGTGCCCGCTGGTGGGGCCAGGCCCCATGCACCGCCGCCACCTGCTGCTCCCTGCCAGGGTACGTCCGGCTGCCCACGCCCCCCTCCGCCGCCGCGCCCCTCGCTCCACCCGCCCTGTGCCACCCGCTTAGCTGCGCATTTGCAGGGCTGGGCCCACGGCGGGAGGGCGGATCCGCGGGGAGCCAATCAACACAGGCCGCTAAGAAGCAGCCAATGACGAGTTCAGACGGGATTAGAGGCGTGCGAGTGGACTAACAGCTGCCGGCTGTTGGGGCGGGGGTGGGGAGCAGGGAGGCGTGTGGGCCCACCTATGGGCGTAGGCGGGGCGAGTCCCAGGAGCCAATCAGAGGCCCATGCCGGGTGTTAACCTCGCCCTCTCCCCGCAGGTCCCTAGGCCTGGCCTATCGGAGGCGCTTTCCCTGCTCCTGTTCGCCGTTGCTCTGTCTCGTGCCGCCGCCCTGGGCTGCGCTGGGTTGGTGGTCCACGCCGGCCAACTCACCGCAGTCTGGCGTCGCCCGGGAGCCGCTCGCGCTCCCTGAACCCTAGAACTGTCTTCGACTCCGGGGCCCCGTTGAAAGACTGAGCGCCCGGGGCACGGCAAAGAAGCCGCGCCCACCGCCTGCCAGTTCACACCGCTCCGAGCTTGGGTCTCCGCCCAGCTCCAGTCCTGTGATCCAGGCCCGCCCCCTAGCGGCTGGGGAGGGAGGGGCCGGGTTCGCGGCCGGCGAACGGGGCTCGAGGGGGCCTTGTAGCCGGGAATGCTGCTGCTGCTGCTGCTGCTGGTGGGGGATCGCAGACCACTTCTTTCGGCCAGGCTGAGGCCCTGACGTGGATGGGCAAACGACAGGCCTGCGAAGGCAGCAAGCCGGGTCGTCCGTGTTCCACTTTCCACGAACCCCCACCTACCGTCGGTTCGCAAACTGCAAATCCTCCCTTGTGCATGACGCCCTGCTCTCTGGGGAGCGTCTGGCGCGACCTCTGCCCGCTTACTCGGGAAATTTGCTTTTGCCAAACCCGCTTATTCGGGGATCCCGCGCCCCCCTCCTCACGTGCGCTGCTCTCGGAGCCCGAGCCGGCTCTGACTGCTTCGGCGGTTTGGATATTTATTGACCTCGTCCTCCGACTCGCTGACAGGCTGCAGGACCCCGAACACCCCAATCCACGTTTTGGATGCACTGAGACCCCGATATTCCTCGGTATTTATTGTCTGTCCCCACCTAGGACCCCACCCCCGACCCTCGCGAATAAAAGGCCCTCCATCTGCCCAAAGTTCTGGACTCCGCAGTCCGCGGTTTGCGTAGTGGGCAAGAGGTTGCGCAGCGGGCCAATCCGAAAGCGAGTGGAGGCGGCCAAAGGTCTGGGAGGAGCTAGCGGGATGCGAAGCGGACGAATCAGGGTTGGGGGAGGAAAAGCTACGGGGCGGGGCCTTGGCGTCCGGCCAATAGGAGGGCGAATGGGCCACCCGGAGGCACCGCCCCGGCCCAGCTGTGGCCCAGCTGTGCCACTGAGCGTCGAGAAGAGGGGGGATGGGCTGGCAGCGCGCGGCCATCCTCCTTCCACTGCGCCTGCGCACGCCACGCGCATCCGCTCCGGGGACGCAAGCTCGAGAAAAGTTGCTGCAAACTTTCTAGCCCGTTCCCCGCCCCTCCTCCCGGCCAGACCCGCCCCCCCGCGGAGCCGGGAATTCCGAGGGGCGGAGCGCAGGCCGAGATGGGGAATGTGGGGGCCTGCAGAGGACCCTGGAGACGGAGGCGTGCAGAAGCTCAGTCTCGGGGCGGAGGCTTCGCGCCCTTAGCCCTCCTGGACGGCCCGTTACCTTCTGCATTGTCCCGATGGGGAAACTGAGGCCCTGAGCCAGAAGCACACGCTGGGGGGGAGGCAGAAAGCGCGGCCAGAGGCGGAGGGAAAACAAAGGGAGAATCACAGACAGACGGGAGGGGAACGGACACACACACGGGGACAGAGACCCGGGTCTCGCCTTCCCGGCGTGGGGCGCAGTCGGCCAGGGAGAAGATCGAGAACAGCGGGGAGTGGGGGCGAAAAGGGGGGACAGGCGGGGGAGGGGGCTGGGGAAAGCCCAAGGGAGGAAGAGAAGGAGGGAGGAACTTCCCAAAGTTGCAAAACATGGCTACCTTGCCTGCGGAGCCGAGCGCGGGGCCGGCGGCCGGGGGGGAGGCGGTGGCGGCGGCGGCGGCGGCGACCGAAGAGGAGGAGGAGGAAGCGCGCCAGCTCTTGCAGACTTTGCAGGCGGCCGAGGGTGAGGCGGCGGCGGCGGCCGGGGCCGGGGCGGGCGAAGCGGCTGCGGGAGCGGAGGGCCCGGGATCCCCGGGCGTCCCCGGGTCGCCCCCCGAGGCCGCTGCCGAACCGCCCACGGGCCTCCGCTTCTCGCCCGAGCAGGTGGCGTGCGTCTGCGAGGCGCTGCTCCAGGCGGGCCACGCCGGCCGCTTGAGCCGCTTCTTGGGCGCACTGCCCCCGGCCGAGCGCCTACGTGGCAGCGACCCGGTGCTGCGCGCGCGGGCCCTGGTGGCCTTCCAGCGGGGCGAGTACGCCGAGCTCTACCGGCTACTCGAGAGCCGCCCCTTCCCCGCCGCCCACCACGCCTTCCTGCAGGACCTCTACCTGCGCGCGCGCTACCATGAGGCCGAGCGGGCCCGCGGCCGCGCGCTGGGCGCAGTGGACAAGTATCGACTGCGCAAGAAGTTCCCGCTGCCCAAGACCATCTGGGACGGCGAGGAGACAGTCTACTGCTTCAAGGAGCGCTCCCGCGCCGCGCTCAAGGCCTGCTACCGCGGCAACCGCTACCCCACGCCGGACGAGAAGCGCCGCCTGGCCACGCTCACCGGCCTCTCGCTCACGCAGGTCAGCAACTGGTTCAAGAACCGGCGACAGCGCGACCGGACCGGGGCCGGAGGCGGCGCACCCTGCAAGAGGTGAGGGGCCTCGGGCGGCGCAAGTCCCGCTCTCCTGGGGACATCCCGTCCACCAGCCATCCTTCCCCGTGCCTATTACTGGGGCCGGCGTGCCGAGGTCCTTGGACACCTCCCGCTCACAACCCCGGGCGCCCGCGGGGCGCGGGGACTAAGCGTGGACGGGACAGACACCCGCCCGGGCCCTCTCCCCGGCATCACTGCCCCGCGCGTCTCCTCTTCCAGCGGCTCCACTCCGAGCTCCTGCCCCAGTCCCATCGGTGTTGGGGAACCACACTGCGGGGCCACTAGAGGGGCTGCGGAAAGGGGATAGGGGCCTGTGGCCACCCTCAGCCCGCGTAGGGCCTGCTTCCCAGCCCCCTTTCTTCGCTGACCGTTACTCTTACCCACCCGCCCCCACACCCCCTCCGAGTCCCGACGGCGTGGTCCATCGTCTGCCTTTGTTGTGAAACGTGAACCTTCCCCAGCTCCGGTTTCCCTGTAACCCAAGCCCTTCCCCTCCCACCCTGAGCGCCGGCCTCTCCCTTCTCTGACGCCCCGCGGGGAGGGCACCGGGAACTGTGCTGGCGGCTGCTGCTCCCTCTCTCCAGGGCACTCGCCCTTTATACCCAACCAAGGAACTTTTAGGGCAACCTGGGAGCTCAGCCTCTGGGGACCCGAGGCTGAGGCAGGGGGAGAGCAAGGGCCTCTTCCCTTCCCAGCGCTTCTCTGCAGTGGTGTCCATGCAGGACTTGCAAAAGGCCCTGGGGTTTGGGGTGGTCTCAGAGAGGCTTCATAACGCCTGGAATGACCCACCGAAACTAGGGCCGGGAAAGGTGGGGGAGCAGCCGGCTGGCTCTGTGGGAGGCCCCACAGGCTAAGGGACCCCAGCTGACAGCCATTTCTCCTGCCAGCGAGTCTGATGGGAATCCCACCACTGAGGACGAGTCCAGCCGAAGTCCTGAGAACCTGGAGAGAGGGGTGGCCCCAGTGTCCGCCGAGGCCGCTGCCCAGGGCTCCATATTCCTGGCAGGGACCAGCCCGCCGGCGCCGTGCCCGGCCTCCTCCTCCATCCTGGTGAACGGGAGCTTCCTGGCGGCTAGCAGCTCCCCAGCAGTGCTTCTCAACGGGGGCCCCGTCATCATCAACGGCCTTGCCCTGGGCGAGGCCTCTAGCCTGGGCCCGCTGCTGCTCACTGGGGGCGGGGGTGCCCCTCCACCGCAGCCCAGCCCTCAGGGGGCCAGCGAGGCCAAGACCTCCCTGGTCCTGGACCCTCAGACAGGGGAGGTACGGCTGGAGGAGGCTCAGCCGGAGGCCCCTGAGACCAAAGGGGCCCAAGTGGCTGTTCCAGGACTAGCCCCTGGAGAGGAGGTCCAGGGACCCCTGGCCCAAGTGGTACCTGGCCCCCCGCTGGCTGCCACCTTTCCTCTTCCCCCGGGGCCAGTGCCTGCTGTGGCTGCCCCACAAGTGGTACCACTCTCCCCACCCCCAGGGTACCCCGCGGGCCTGAGCCCCACCTCCCCGCTATTGAACCTACCCCAGGTAGTGCCCACCTCGCAGGTGGTGACCCTGCCCCAGGCTGTGGGGCCCCTGCAGCTGTTGGCAGCCGGGCCAGGCAGCCCTGTGAAGGTGGCAGCTGCAGCAGGCCCTGCCAACGTGCACCTCATCAACTCCGGGGTGGGCGTGACTGCCCTGCAGCTGCCTTCGGCCACTGCCCCAGGTACCCCCATCTCCCTCTCTCAGGCCTGGGTGAGAGCCAGGGGAGGGGGTGCAGTCATCTCAGAGGGAGGAGCTGTCAGTGGGCTCCTGGGGGGCATCTCATCCCTGGCAAGTCTCAGTGCCCCGAGGACAAGGCCCACTGGAAGGCTCCTTCTGCCCGCCCTCTAGCCGCACAGTCTCTACCTCTGCGTGGCTTGGCGGGCTCTCCTGGCTCTCACCTGCGCTCGGTCCCTTTCTCCCCACAGGAAACTTCCTCCTGGCCAACCCTGTGTCTGGCAGCCCCATCGTGACGGGTGTGGCCGTGCAGCAGGGCAAGATCATCCTCACCGCCACCTTTCCCACCAGCATGCTCGTCTCCCAGGTCCTGCCGCCAGCTCCTGGCCTGGCCCTGCCCCTGAAGCCAGAGACAGCCATCTCCGTGCCCGAGGGAGGCCTCCCGGTGGCCCCCAGCCCTGCTCTCCCAGAGGCTCACGCCCTAGGCACCCTCTCTGCTCAGCAGCCACCCCCCGCCGCTGCCACCACCTCCGGCACCAGCCTGCCCTTCTCCCCTGACTCCCCTGGCCTCCTTCCCAACTTCCCAGCGCCCCCACCGGAGGGGCTGATGCTGTCACCCGCAGCTGTGCCTGTCTGGCCAGCAGGGCTGGAACTAAGCACAGGAACAGAGGGGCTGCTGGAAGCAGAAAAGGGGCTGGGGACACAGGCCCCCCACACCGTGCTGAGGCTGCCGGACCCCGACCCCGAGGGGCTGCTCCTGGGGGCCACTGCAGGGGGTGAAGTTGACGAGGGGTTAGAGGCTGAGGCCAAGGTTCTGACCCAGCTCCAGTCGGTGCCTGTGGAGGAGCCCTTGGAACTGTGACCCAGTACGGCCCTGTGGCCTTTCCCAACAATGGTGCTGAAGATGCAGGGACAGGAGTGGGAGGAGGGGCCCCGGAAACACGGTTGCTGAAGACCGCAGCCAGCACATCCTTCTGCCCGGGTGGCCTCTCCAAGCCCTGGTGGTGCTCGGGGTCGCGTCCCTGGCTGCCTCCTGTCCAGGTCTCCCTCCCCCTGTGGATGGGAAGCTTCTCTGTTACAGCCCTCCCCATGCTGTGTCCTACCATATACATGGGGGACCCAGGGTCCTGACTCAGGGGCCCTGCCGCCTCCACTTGGTACTAGCTGTGAGTGGAACACCCTGCCCCAGGGCCGGACTTCCAGCCCCCAGAGCCCTCTCCCAGTCACTCCCTGAAACACTATTAATAGCTCTGCTGATAGCTGGTGTTGTCACAACTGTCTGGAATCCAAAAGCGGAGGACAGGCAGCCCCGTGCCCCCAAGACTGGAGACCCTCCCCAGCGTGGCATTTCCTGCCGGGGGCGGGAGGGGGCAGCTGTGGGGAGGCGGGGGTCTTCCCCCACCAGCTCTCCTGGACTCAAGCCCTTGTCCTCATATCCGGCCCAGACCAAAGATTCCCTCATTCCTGGGGGCAGCCCTGCCACTGTGTCTCCTTTGTATCCTAAATCTTTATTTTTCTAGGATATGTTATGCCTCCATTTTCAATTAAAATAAAATTACCGGACTACAACACCACCAGGGGTGTGGGGTGCCTTCCAGGGGCGGTCCAGAGGAGCTCGGAACACACCCGGCCTTCCCACTGCTGCCTCCCGAGGGGGAAGAGGGGTTTGCGTTCAGATGCACGGGGTGGCTGGGGAGGGGGTGGCAATGAGGCCTCTTGCAAGCCACAGGCCTCCAGATGAGGGTGGAAGGAGCACCCCAGTGGGGCAGCAAGGGGACGCGGGAGGGCCTGCCCTTGTCTCTCTTGCTGGTAACAAAGGTTCCACTTGCTTTATTTTATTTAAAACAATAAATAGTCTAAAAATAGAACAGGAGAGGGAGGAGTAGGGTGAGGTGAGCATGAACAGGGTTGCAACTGTGTGGCTCGGGTGGGGACGGGAAGGGGAGAGGGGTGGGTAAACTTCACCTTCCAACACCCCGCATTTCATTCTGGGTTTCCTTCCTAAGCCTGGGGGAGAATCGAGGCAGCTGCGGGCGACTGGTGCTCCAGGCAAACGTGCTCAGCAGTTGGGGCCAATCAGTGCCCCCCTCCGCAGTCCCATGGTACCTGCATTCTCAGGGGCTGGAGGCCCAGGAGGGACAAGTTCATTGATGGGTCCTGGCTTCCAGCAAGAGCTGTGGTTGCCATGAGGGGTGAGGGGAGCGAGGTGAGGGGCCGCCCTTTCTCACTGGATGTGCGGGGGCAGCGGCAAGGCCTTCTCGGCCAGCAGCTGGTAGAAGGGCTTGGGCGTCTCCCAGTCCTCAGCCTCGCTGCTGGAGCCATCCTGCTTCACGATGCGGTTGTGCTGGCGGCTGAACCTGCGAGCCTTGGTGCTGGGGAGACGGCGGCAGGACGGCCCAGCTTCCTCACTCGCCTCCCGGGCATCCCTGTCCCACCCCCAATCCTGTGGCCCCCACAGTGGCCTGGGCCACCGTTTTAGCCTCTACTGGGCGAGCCTTGGGGCCACCAAGTCCTTGTCTGTAAAATGGGACTCAGCCAAGGGCTCTGGGATGTGTTCAAAGTCAGGAGCCAGGGCAGGTGGCAGCTCCTTGAAAGTGGAGGGGACAGGGTTTGGGGGAGTCGAGGTGGCCAAGTGACAGAAAAATCAGACCACACCCCAAGAAACTCATGTGGCAGAGACGCAAAGGAATTGAGGCTGGGGGTCCTTGTCCGGGCTCAGCTGTTCCCCAGCTTAATTGTGGTATGCACCCCTACACCTGTGTCACTCCCAAGGGTTTCATAAGAAGGGGCAACACGCAAATTCCTCGGCCCAGTCTCCCATGCCATGACACCCAAGGCTCCAGAGACAGAGCAGGTTCCAGGGCAGGGAGGCCCTTCCAGCCCCCACCCACAGCTCGGGGCCGGGGCCTCTCACCAGTATGGCCTCCGCTCCTGCTGGGTCATCACCCGCCACAGCTGGGCCAGCTCCTTGGTGGCAGCTGTAGAAGCGGTTCCAGGACAGGATCTGGGACAGGAAGAAGGAGGAGGTAAGGAGAGGCCTGCAGGACACCCTGACTGAGAACTCAGACCCTTCCTAGACTCGTGGGTCTACAAGGCCTCCAAGACCACCCTCGGGAGCTGAGGATGCAGACGGAGCTGGACTCAGTGGCTGTTCACAAGGGGGCATCCGGCATCCCAGGAGCGTGCAGGGGACCTGTGGCCACCGCTCCTAGCCCCCACATCTGGATCTTCCTGTAAAGGAAGATCTTCTCTTCTGTGGCTTCTCCTCTGTGGCTTGGGGGGCCTCCCCATCCCCTGGCTCCAGGCCTGACAGTGACTGGTTCCGGATTGGCACGAGATCTACCAAAGTCAGTCCCAAGGACTTTGCTTAAAACCTCAGAGACCTCTGCTCCCCCCGGGGTCGCTTGGGTGGGGGACGGGACCCGAGCCTGCGCCTCCTGGGGTGACCCCGCCTGCCAGAAAATGAAGCCAGCACAGAAGACAGCGGAACTGAGCGAAAAGGACAAAGATTCCAGACAGCCTGTGTGAGCCCTGAAACCAACTACATCTCAAGGCAATCTATACCTGCCCTTGTTTTCTAGGTTATATAAGTCAATTCATTTCCTTTTCTTGCTGGGCCTGAGGCTCACACGTGTAATCCCAGCAATTTGAGAGGCCAAGGCAGGTAGATCACTTGCAGGTTTTGAACTCCTGGCCTCAGATGATCCGCCCACCTCAGCCTCCGAGAGTGCTGGGATTATAGGCATGAGCCACTGCGCCTGGCCTATTTGTTTTTGAACAAAGTCTCGCTACCAGGAACGCAGGTGAGGCGTTCGAGACCAGCCTGGCCAACATGGTGAAACCCTGTCTCTACTAAAAATACAAACATTAGCCAGGAGTGGTGGCACGCCTGTAATCCCAGCTACTCAGGAGGCTGAGGCAGGAGAATCTAGGAGGCAGAGGTTGCAGTGATTTGAGCCCGGGAGGCAGACATTGCAGTGAGCCGTGATTGTGCCACTGCACTACAGCCTGGGCGACAGAGTGAGATTCCATCCCCTCCCCACCCCCCAAAAAAAGTCCTTTTTTCTGAAGGCTAAAGTCTGAATTGGATTTCAGCGCTGACAATGGATGGACCCTGTCCAATACAATGGGGCCGGGTTCAATTCTGGGGAAGAACTGTGGTCCAGGAAGAGTTTGTGGGGTCTGGGATGGGGAGAAAGTGTCAGACAGCTGTGAGGAGCGGCATGGCCAGGCTACGGGCAGAGAACGAAGCCAGGGCCTTCCCCAGGGCCAAAGACGGACCCCCTACCCACCGGATGTACTGCTTCCGGTTCATCCTGCAGAACATGATGAAGCCATTGACACACTTCTTCTTCATCTGGGGTGGGCAGGGGCCTTTCTTCTTCTCCTTGGGCTTCACGGGGGCTCTGGCTGCTTGGCCCTTCCTGGCCTTTTTCTCGGCTGCTGGCAGGGGTGAGGTCGGCCGGGTGGGGGTCCATGTGGTGTCTTCGTCCTCTTCGCTGGAGCCCGGCATGCCCGCAGGGTTGGCCTGCATATCCTGGGGGAGGGAGAGGGTGGTGAGAGAGGAAGGAGGCCCAGCTGGCCCTGGCGTGTGGCCGTGTCTCTCACCTCTCGCTGCTTCCACAGGGGCTCTGAGTCGCTGTCCTCCGAGCTGGAGCTAGAGCTGGAGCTAGAGCTGGAGCTGGAGCTAGAGTTGGATGGCACCTTGCTGTTCCCGCTCAGTGAGAGGTAGCAGTGGTCCAGCGAGACTGAGGACCGGTGCAGGCTGTGGGACTCAGGAGGGTCTTTGGGGGCCTTGGAGGCTGTGTCCTGGGGCATGACGAGGGAGAAAGATGGGAGGGGAGACAAGTGGTGCCCCTTCATCCCCCCAATACTGCTTTTCTAGGACGTAACATGAGCATTAGCAGCAGCTCAGATTGGCAGGGTGTGGTGGCTCATGCCTGTAACCCCAACACTCTGGGAGGCTGAGGCAGGAGGACGGCAGGGCCAGGAGTTACAGACCAGCCTGGGCAACATAGAAAGACCTCGTTCTACAAAAAATAAGAAAAAAAAAGGCCAGGCACAGAGGCTCATGCCTGTAATCCCCACACTTTCGGAGGCTGAGGCGGGCGAATCACCTGAGGTCAGGAATGCAAAACCAGCCTGGCTAACAGGGCGAAACTCTGTCTAAAAATACTAAAAAATTCGCCAGGTGTGGTAGTGGACGCCTGTAGTCCCAGCTACTCTGGAGGCTGAGGCACGAGAATCGCTTAAATCCAGGAGGCGGAGGCTGCCGTGAGCTGAGATCGCACTACTGCCCTCCAGCCTGGGCAACACAGTGAGACTCTGTCTCAAAAAAAAAAAAGAAATTAAATTAAGTTAAATTTTAAAATAAGTTAAAAAAAAAAAAAAAACAGCTGGGCATGGTGGTGCATGCCTGTATTCGCAGCTACCTGGGAACCTGCAGCGGGAGGGTCATTTGAGCCCAGGAGTTCAAGGCACTGATCTATGATGGTGACACTGCACTCCAGCCAGCCTGGGCAACAAAGCAAGACCCTGTCTTTCTCTCTTTCTTTTTTTTTTTTTGAGACGGAGTCTCGCTCTGTCGCCCAGGCTGGAGTGCAGTGGCGCGATCTCGGCTCACTGCAAGCTCCGCCTCCCGGGTTCACGCCATTTTCCTGCCTCAGCCTCCCGAGTAGCTGGGACTACAGGCGCCCACAACTGCGCCCGGCTAATTTTTTGTATTTTTAGTAGAGACGGGGTTTCACCGTGGTCTCGATCTCCTGACCTTGTGATCCGCCCGCCTCGGCCTCCCAAAGTGCTGGGATTACAGGCGTGAGCCACCGCGCCCGGCCTGTTTCTCTCTTTCTCTCTCTCTTTCTTTTTCTCTCTCTCTTTCTTTTTTTTTTTTTTTTTTTTTTTTTTTTGAGATGGAGTCTTGCTCTTGTCCCTCAGGCTGGAGTGCAATGGTGTGATCTCAGTTCACTGCAACCTCTGCCTCCCACGTTCAAGCAATTCTCCTGTCTTGGCCTCCTGTGTGGCTGGGGTTCCAAGTGCATGCCACCATGCCCAGCTAATTTTTGTATTTTTAGTAGAGATAGGGTTTCATCATATTGGTCAGGCTAGTCTCAAACTCCTGACCTCAGGTGATCTGCCCACCTCAGCCTCCCAAAGTGCTGGAATTACAGGCATGAGCCACCACGCCCAGCCACGCCCTGCTATTTTTTTTTTTTTCTTTTTTTTTTAGACTAGGTTTCGCTCTTGTTACCCAGGCTGCAGTGCAATGGTGCCATCTCGGCTCACTGCAACCTCCGCCTCCCAGGTTCAAGCGATTCCCCTGCCTCAGCCTCCTGAGTAGCTGGGATTACAGGCATGTACCACCACACCCGGCTAATTTTGTATTTTTAGTAGAGATGGTATTTCACCATGATGGCCAGACTTATCTCCAACTCCTGACCTCAGGTGATATGCCCTCCTCGGCCTCCCAAAATGCTGGGATTATAGGCGTGAGCCACCGTACCCGGACAATTTTTGTTTTTGTTTTTGTTTTTTTTGGAGACTGAGTCTCACTCTGTC